GTCTATATATATATATATATATATATATATATATATATATATATATATATATATATATATATATATATATATATATATATACATATATATATATATACATATATATATATATATACATATATATATATATATATATATATATATATATATATATATATATATATATATATATACATATATATATTAGTAATTTCTAGTACGCTTGGCTAAATTGCCTCCCCTTAAGGTAAATGTTGACAGATTTCCTTATTTCCAGTATATTTTCATCTTTTACATATTTATGCATGTAGTGAATCAGTGATGAATTAACGGCTTACTTAATTATTCCCGCGCCTTAAAAATACTAAAGTACAAGCGGGCAGCCTGGCAACCCCCTAAGGCTCGTTAAACCACCTGTGAGACGCTCAAGTGAGCCTCGAACAAAACGGCGGCCAGGTGAGAGGTCAGCGCGGAGGCAGTGGGGCTCCGGCGATGACAGGCAATAGATGTCATGTTCTGTTTTTTTTTCGCAATTCATCTTTGCTTGCCAGGTTTTCCACGACCACGGCATACAAAAGTTAAGTATAGAAAATGGTAGATTGAGTTATAATATATATTTGTGGATTGTGAGGGATATAAATGGACTTTAATAGATCGTAGAAATAGAATTTTATCTGAATATTTCCGATAACTCCTTCAAATTACAGCCATACTGTGGCCCAGATAATGACATATAACTCCTTAACTTGGTTATGGATGGATAATATAATAATTACTCTTGAGTGGCCTGCAAAGATTAACGTATGCCCCTCACGTTGTGTAACGATGTCCTGCAGTGATCTTCGCTAACTACAGATATGATTATTTCTTGAACTTCGAAAAATTACTCGGATCTTGGTGAATATGGAACTCTCATAACTTCTTATTGCGGCATTAACTTAGCATTTCACATACACGACCTGCACTGTGAAGATGGACGTGCTTGAACACTGATGGGGACGGTCTACACTAAGTTTTAAAATGGGGTTAACGTAGATTTCCAGGTTTTTTTAACGGGAAATACACACGACACATACTATCAACTGTCCCTCTATTTACTTTTGTTTATAATTTATTATTCTATTTTTGCACGTGTAGTAGGACCAGTGTGATTTCTCGGCCGACTGGATCACTACGGGCATCTTCTTTGATGGGCATTAAACTGGCAGGACCAATGTAATATGTTATATAAAGCGTCCAAAAGAGGCATTTTTTTCTGAAAGCGCATACACCTCCATGAGGATCCTGGTGGCTGGCAATTTTTTTCTTAGGGAATCCGGTACCTTGAGTATGCGTTAAAGTTGAAATATCCCGCCTATAGCCCGTCCACTAGAAAATAAAGGTATGGTTTATGGAAGTGTAATTTCTTTATTTTTTTTCCTAAGTGAGCGTCAGGGGAGGGTTTAGGAGACGGAGGCTAAGGCCCATTGTAGGGGATCACTTCTACCTTGGATTTCAGCCCTCGTCTCGTCTGATTTTGCGTGATCTCTTCCTCTCCCCCTTTCCCTTTCTTTCTCTTCTCCCCCCCCTTTCCCCTTCCTTTTCTTCTCCCCCTTTCCCCTTCCTTCTCTTCTTCTCCCTTTCCCCTTCCTTTTCTTCTCCCCCTTTCCCTTTCCTTCTCTTCACTTCCCCTTTCCCTTTCCTTCTCGTCTTCATACCCTTCTGTCCACTTACCCTAATCGTTAACACATTTTTACCCTTTTTGCCACAATGCTTTATCCTAATGCTGTATAACCTTTGTCTAGAACATTTATTATTGTTAACCATTCTGGAAAATTCAAAAACATCGCCTTGTGAAGAAAAAAAATCCTTACCCGGGGTTTCCGTCCGCGAGCATCACCACCCTATCGCCGTATTTTGAATACGTCGTTGATGACTTTGGTATTCAATAAAGTTCATTAAAATTAAGTCTCGTTCTTGCTTTTACAAGTGTTCTGATTTGGGGAAAGTGATGTTTGTTCATAATTATCCTTGCTTCAAGTAGTAAATCGCTTCAACAGTATCAATAGAGCATGGTCCTGCTCTTAACTCTTAACGCTAGCATACATATACATACATACATACATACATACATACATACATACATGCATACATACATACATACATACATACATACATACATACATACATACATACATACATACATACACGTACATACATACACGTACATACATTGATCATGAGTTGATTGGCTGCCAGATCATATATTTCATTTAAAACAATTTTCTGATTACAAATGCGTAAACTTTCCCAATTAAAGATTTCAAGAGATATGTCTGAATAAAACCTGTGGTCTGTAGTGCGACTCCATCCAGTTTTAACCTTTGGTTAGCCACACACACACGCATGCACACATATATCCACGTAGATTAATAGATATAGGTGCTCAGCCTGCTTATTGTTTGGTTAATAAGCTGGTTGCTGATTGCAAAGGAAGTGATCAGCTTGGATTGATTAGTAATGATTAATGTTTAACACAAGTAATTGTGCTGTACATCAGAGGTTATATATAGTGTTGTGGTGAAAAGGGTAAAAGTGAGTTAGCGATTAGGATATGTAGACAGAAGAAGAGGACGAAGAGAAGAAGAAAAGATGAAAATTAGTTGAGGCGAGGGCTGAGGTCCAAGGTAGAAATGATTCCTTGGGCCTCAGTTTCCGACTCTTAACCCCCCCCCCCCCCCCGCGACGACAACGGGTAAGGAATTCGGGGGGTGGATTAGCATAATACTGAAAAGAAGTTGAGGGATGCAGAAGTTATATGTAATAATATAGGTTAGGGTGGTATATGGCAATTGAGAAAAAAATATATATTTATTAAAAATAAGACTGCTGCATGATATGCTATTTTTTTTAAATAGCTTTTGTTGCAATAAACTACGCAGACTGTTCTGTGTTTTGATGATTCACGTTTGATCATATTCATCTTTATTGCAGATGCTACTCAAGGCGAGAACACGGTTACTACGAAGGCCAAGAATCACATATGAAGGAAAGGATTGGCGTCTTCGTGATAAGGTGAAGCTGGAAGGTGCTGTGTATCTTGGAAGCGTAGACGCTATGCAAATGATAATAGAACGTTTTAACGCGGATTTCAAATGCCTGTAGTCTGCAGTCTGGCGGCATCGTCCTCGCCGTGGTGCCGACGAGGACAAACCTACAAGATCTCTGAATGCAGTACACCCCACCCTACCATACAATTCACCATAGAGGACGAGAGAGACAAGCAGCCCCCATTTCTCGACACCATAATCTATTAGAATCTGCAGCCGGGAGTTCCTGGAGGAGGAAATTCAACACATCAACACCATCCAACTCTCAGTTACTCTCGAGTCTTGCTCCCCCACCTCCTCTGCAAGGCCGGAAAGATCATAAACAGACCAAGGGGCCCTATAGAACACGACCCATACCATAATCATTCCGCACTTGGAGTTGGCAGAACACCTGGAGGCCCTTAAGTGGTCCCAAACTTTTATCATAGAGCGAGCTCTGCCCCCACGACAAAGGAAGGTGGTAGAAGCGGCGTTCATACATTAAGCCAACAACTCTAACGCCGCGACGGGGAGCCACGAACTAGCTAAGGTGGTCGCACACCTAACCACCGTCGTGACCTGAAGTTGTGCGTTGATAGTTCACACAAACCTCTCACAGACACTCAAGAGGCAAGCCTTATCGTTAGATTCGACACCGATACCCTTAGGAAAGGCATGGCTGACTTTATCAAGTCCAACTATCGCAGAAATCTCTGCAATGGAGAGAGGATTCCTGTAGTGAGTTGTGACCTGTGCAATCGCTAGCGCCAGAAGACTCGAGCCTGCCATTCCTGATACGTACATTAAGGTCAAATAGGAACTTGGCAAAGATGACTCCATCGTCATTGCTCCGGGAGTTAAGATTGTCGTATTTCTTGATACATATTATCGCAAAGATGGAAGTTCTACTCTTGGACGTCTCTGCTTTCAGGAAAGCCAGGAGAGGAAACGCGGAGGCAAGGTCCCTAGAGTTCAACAGTGGCGCAAGGAAGATCCTCGCGTCGATGATCCTGGGACACCTAAACACATACGGACGGAAACCTCGTGAGATCCATTACTAACGGAACAGGGAGTGCCCCACGCCGGCTAGTAAAGCCTGCAGCACCTCTCTCAATCGCCCTAATCTGCATCAGTGTAAATAAAAATTGCCTATATAAACAACCCAAAATGTTAAAAGTTCAGCAAAAATGTCAATATGACACGCACACTTATTCATAAATTTATACAGGGTAATTATCCTCATGGGTCACAGGAATAATAATCACCTGCCTCAAAATATTAAACATCGACTGAATACTTTCAATAAAGAATTAAAGGAGCATCATCCAAGTTGTAAATGACATCAGGCATTCAGAGCCAAACAATATACCTCAGTTTATGAAAATTTTATGATTTTATAACTTCTACCCACGGTATCTGATATTTCTGCTTGTCTCCTATACTGTTCCTTGTAAACTCCTACACATAAAGAATAGCATTGTAACTAATGAATAAAGTGTTTTGAATTTGAGTTTTTTTTATGATATTCCCTTTGCTTAGCAGTTTATGGCATATTTGTTTTATTTATCAGGAAACTTAAGTGTTAGGTCAGATTATTTGTATAAATATGGGAATGTCAAATTGTTTACAAACCTTAAGAACATGTGAATGATTAAACAAAAGATTTTTATGAAATTACTCCCAGAAAGTATAGAACATAATGCTAATGACCTCTCATCCCTTGTGTAATAGAATACTATCCTAATGTGTAATATATATAAAGACAGTGAAACAGCCACAGAACAGAATAAACAAACTTATTCAATCCCTTACAATTTACTGTGTTCTTACTATAACTGTTTTGGTTTAGGAATATATTTTCTTGGCGACTCGGTTATGTATTTATGCCAGATTTTATATGCACTACAAAATAGTTTATCAACCACTGATAAGGTTTCAAAGTAAATTTCCAAATAAATTTCATATAAAAAGTTTATTTACATAACAATTTTGCTTAAATAATTAAATACTGTACATATTTATTTCTCTTGTTCAATACAATGTATTATTATCAACTTTTTTCCACATTCTAAAATTGAAGTGCTTGCCTTATTAGCACCTTGTCCAAAATCATGAAATAAAAAAGTGATATATATTACTTTTCTCAACATACAAACCTTTCGTGGGGAGTCCCCCTCAACAGCCTTTAACAATTAACATCCAGTCTTTACAAATAATACTAAACCTATTACTTGCAGGGAAAAAAATAAGGTATTTATCACTTAATCTTTCAGCATCTTCTGGATAACATTTTATACAAAATTACCATAACATATATAGTATCATTCATCATTATCAAAACGGGGCGAGAAACACATACAAACAGACAGATCTACATCAAACACATTTGCTATCCTATCTTCTTCCTTTTTTCTTTGTGGCCTCAACACCTTTGGGATTCGTGTACTCCTCGATCAGAGCCTCCATCATCTCGCTTCTCATTGGGGCATAACGAGAGTACTCCATCGCAAACTCACCCTTTCCCTGCGTCGCTGACCTAAGTTCTGAAGCGTAGCCAAACATGTCATTAAGGGGGACCTGCAAAAAAAAAATAAATAAATAAATTATGTAAGGATCCTTTACTCAAGCTTTTAGTATAGTATATTAACTTTAGGAATATTATAAAGTATGCCTAGTTATTTATTAATGCATAACTCAGCACTTGCATCTATCATTCCCACTAACTGTACCACAAAACATTCTTTCACAAGAATGTACATATTCAAGATAATAAGGATGGAAAACCCCACTCCCAACACAACCATAAATCGACACGCTTACCTCCGTGTATAGAGTGAACCATCCTTCATTTGCATCCGTCCCTGTGATGATTCCGTTCCGCTTGTTCATCTGGGAAATAATGGATCCTTGGAATTCTTCCGGGGCTGTGATTTCCACGGACATGACGGGCTCCAAGAGAATCCACATACCATCCTCATAGGCTGTGATATATAAGGGTCGCTGCATTAGAGACAGAGAGGAGATGTGGGGGGAGGGATATGTATGTGAGAGAGGGAGGGAGAGCAGAAGAGTAAAACAGCATGAGGGAGAGAGTGATAGGGAGAAAGGAGGTAGGAAGAGACTTAAAGAGATAGGAAGAAAGAGAGGAAAATATCCTCAACAATAACAAGGACTATGACACTTAGGAAAAATCATGATAAACAACTATGCTACAATTATCAAAAATAATTATAATAAAAGAACTCCTACCCTGTTTCATAGCTCCTTGTGCCGCCAGAATGAATGAAATCTCGTTGGAGTCCACTATGTGATGCCCGCCATCCTTCAGGCGGAATTTTATACCTGATATTTTATGCCCAGACAACATACCTATAGAATAATAAGATTATATTAAAAAATGTTTTAATTATTCACTCTCACCTCTCATCTGCTCATTCACTCATCCTCTTCTTTCTTTCATAACGAGAGTACTTCATCATCTCACTCACACTCACACTCACACACAAATATATACTATATATATATATTATATATGTATATAAAGTGTGCAACCAATATTTTCTTCAATTGCATCAACCAAAAAAAGATCAACAGCAAAAATGAATTTCTTACCCTTCTCACAAAAGGCATGGTATCCTTTTTCAATCGCTGGTATAAACTGCTTGGGGACGTTTGTTCCCATTGTCTCATCTGCAAACACATTTTTGGTATTTTCCTCTGCAGGCTGGAAAATGGGAGTACACAAAATTTAGGAAATTTTTTACATGTTCGGCACATACTGTATACAAAGACATATAAAAGCACTCATACACGCATGAATGTACCCACACACACACACACAAATAAATGCCAAAAAATAATCAAACAAGTCAAACAGAAATACACTCTTTCACAATGCTATATCAATTAGATGATCAAAATCTCACCTCAATAATGCCAATAACACGACCGTACTGGCCTGAACCTCCAGACTGCTTCTTGTGAAGGTAGTCAAATTCCACTGGAGCTGAGATGGTTTCCCTAAATGCCACCTTGGGTTTCCCCATCAACACTTCACACCCATATTCTCGTTCCATCCTCTGGGGAACCATTAAAAATGAGCAGTTAATTGTAAGTAGAATTACAGGTAAAAGAAAGAGGAAGTGGAAGAAGAGACGGAAGAGCAGGAGGATGAGAATGACAAGAAACAGAGGAGGATGAGAAAAAGGAGGAGGAGGAGGACGATGAGAAAAAGGTGTAGGAGGAGGAGAAGGAGGGGAAGGAGAAGGACAAGAAAAACGAGGAGGCTGAGAAAAATGAGGATGACGAAAAAATGAGGAAGGGGCCAAGAAAAAGGAGAGGGAGAACAATTAGGAGAACGAGGAGGAGGTGGAGGAGGAGGAGGAGGAGGAGGAGGAGGAGGAGGAGGAAGAGGAGGAGGAGGAGGAGGAGGAGGAGGAGGAGGAGGAGGAGGAGGAGGAAGAGGAGGAGGAGGAGGAGGAGGAAGAGGAGGAGGAGGAGGAGAAGAACAAGGAGAAGAATCTAAACTAAACACACCATATATCACACCATCCAGACCAGAGTACCAAAAACCAATGCAAAAGACCCTTAACCACCATACCTGAGCATAAATCTCCAGGTGGAGCTCTCCCATACCAGACGCAATGGTTTCCTTGTTCTCATTGTCCCACTGCACCCTATACGTTGGGTCTTCTTTGGTAAACCTGTTGACGGCTTTGCTGAAACTGTCCGAGTCTTTTGTGTTCTTGGGTTTGATGGCCATTGATATCACAGGGTCAGGTACATACATGGATTCCTATTGGGGTGTTAGACGTGGCTGGATTAGTCCTACATATTGTATATTTTCATACATACAAAATTTTGTCCATGATTATATGGTTTTATGAGCAATCCACATTTAATGCCATGATCAAAATATCAAAATGTCGTATCATAATTAACCTTGTTTTACAAAGAGGAATCCATCTTCAAGCCAGTTTCTTAAATAGAGACTAACCTGCATGTACACTATTCTCTATATTTACAACAAAACCCAAATTAATCTTTTAAAAACCATTAGTAACCTTATATACGCACCATGGACAGATTCAATTTTAGATCGGTTGTGAAAGTATCTCCAGAAGCACAATCAATGCCAAACAGAGCACAAATGTCACCAGCATAGACAACATCAACATCTTCCATGTTATTGCTGTGCATCTGGACTAACCGGGACACTTTCACCTGGAAATTAGAGAAGATTTGTAGTTGATCAGAAAAAGGACATTATATGCCCACCACATAATGAAGCAAACAACTCAATGTTCTTCTATTTTCTTAATCTATACTGACTTTATTTAACAGACTTTAGTTTATAATTTCCAGAAAAACAAAACAATTATTTCACTCTCATACATTACCAACTATGATCTGGCCTGCTCAAAGTACAAACTACTTGTCATCCTAAAAGTTTAATACCAAAAAGCTCTAATGCTCTCTGAAAAACCCTCACTTTGTGAACTTTGCATTTTTTCCAGACTGAGGCTAAGAAAGGGATGAGGACATAGAATCAGGAAAACAGAGAAAAATGACAAAAAAAAAAAGCTAATTTAACTTCTTGAGGGGAGGGAAGGGGAAGAGAAACTAATCCACAAGTCTAGTTTTTAAAAGTATTCTAACATCTCAGATCACGTTAAACACTCACTTTTTTACCAGTACGAGAATTGAAGATCAGCTCTCCCTTCTTCAGACAGCCCTGGTAGACGCGAATGTACGTCAACTGCCCGAACTTCCCAGCCTCCAGTTTAAAGGCTAAGCCAACAAAGGGATGGTTGGCTGTTCTTTCTGGATGGAGCTGAATGCGGACCTCCTCCCTGCCGAGTAGGGATGATATCTTACATTACTTTAGCTTACAACAACTGTGTGTGTGGGGGATGGGGGACTATGAGAAATATCAGTTGAATGTAAGCTAGTTTTTCACACTATCGAACGAAATGATAATTCATTTCAGATATATCTAATAAAACTAGTAAGAACTTTCAAAGTTGTTTCGAGAAGATAATATTCCTGAAGATACTGACTCTTTCTTGTCTTCCTGAAGAGCAAAATTCTTGACCTCTCCTGGATGTGGCAAATAGGTCAAAACTGCATCCAATAGTGGTTGCACTCCTTTGTTCTTTAGTGCAGTACCTACAAACACTGGGGTAAAGGTACGTTGTAGGCATGCCCGTCGGATGCCAGCACGTAGCTCAGATTCTGAAGGCATTTTCTCTTCTGTGGTGAAGAGAAAAATTATAATTGTAATATTATAGCAGCATTGCTTCAGCCTGAATTCTGCTAATGCCAAACCTAAAGAGCTGCTGATTATATATATATATTTTTTTTCTTTCTTGTTCTCATTCTGTATATAACTAATAGTAATAATATCTAAATATCTCAACCTATTACTAGCTTAATCCATTGGATCTGGATGCTTCACCACCATCATAAGGACCAAAATACAGGCATTAGTCTTAGTTGATTAGCCACCCTGATGGGTGCATGGCTTGTAAGCCAGGTACACACAAACACTCATGCAGTGGCAAGACTCTTTGCCTCCCCTTTACAATATTATTTTCTTTTTCTGAAAAAGCATTTTTAGCTTTATTGCCATTTTCCAATGTCCATATATATTTGATTTGCTTTATCCACATGGTAATAGACTGTTTTTTTTGTATGACAGTATGTTCATGTAACCCACCCCTCAATCCATTTTTTTTTTATGATGTGATGGTCATGTCATCCAGATCATAAGGTTAAAAGACTTATTAATCACAAAATGTTTTTGTCACGATAACAGTACAACGACTGACTCGCAGCATAAAATTCACAGAAAAAAACATTCACTTTCCTAAAATAACAATGTTCCTTCCATTTAATCTTTAATATAAAAATCAAACCAAACTTTAGCCCTTCAAAATTACCATTTTCTAAATATCATTACTCACTATAACACATCAACCTCAAATTGTGAAACTGCATTTTACCCAAACCTTTCCTCACTCACCCAAGAACAGTTCGCCAATAGCATCATCCGCATTGGACACATATTCGATAAGCTCCATGTAACGGTCATCGGCTTCAGCTCTCATGTCTTTGGGGATCTCATCTTCGCGGATAATTTCGCTAAGGAGAAATAAAGATTGTT